CATAAAAACTTCCCAGCCACCTTCCGACTTGCTCGACTTAGGTGAACCAACTGGTACTAGTATTCTGCCATCTTTAGATCCTTTTAAGCAATTAGAAGGTGTTCTAGATCAAACACAAGACCCTACCTCACTAAATACTGGTGGATTTAGTGGTACTGATGCACCCGACATAATGTCCCTCTATGTGGACACGTCGTTAAGAGACCAGGGGAATAGCACAGCAAATTTACTTTCAACTGTTAATGATAGTTCTAGTCTTCTCTCTGGTTTTTCAGATGCTACCAATAGAACTGGTCATGGAGGAAATACAGTTGCACAGTTAACACAGAAATTGAGCGAGGGACCAAATCATAAAGATTCTCTCGAAAAAGATGCAACTGTTAGGCAAATGGGAGTGACCCCATCAGGTCAGAATCCTAACTTATTTAAGGATTTACTTGGGTAAAATTCTTTGGAAAGGCATAGAACAACCTCATATACATTGCAATTTGGGATCCGTTTAGAATAATTGCTGTATGATTAAGGCATTGTTCTCCATGTGGCTAACAAAACTACGAGGATATCAATCTGATGAGAGTAGTTGCAATTCAAAGCAAATTGTGGAGGCACACGGATTGCAGATGTAACCTCTGTATGGTAGTAAAGAAAAGGTGAACTTTTGTATTTTACCAACATGGTGTATATAATAATATGATAACATTTGATGATTCTCAACGTGTACGTGTTTTTCAATATTATGCCATTGTGGCTGGCTTGCCGGTTACATAAACAGTGTAGCTTCACATTATATTCGGGTTTTAATCCTCTTTAATCTTAGGCCATCTTTCGAAAGAATCTATTTTATCAATTTACACTGGGAATAGTGGATTTTCATGTATAAGAATTTCTCTTTTAGTTAATCTGAATTGCTGTTTGATTGCTATATTGACTTCTTATCAGTTGACTGGACGTTTAGAGGTAAAACATCGTTTCATTGCAGACCCGAAAACAGTACCAAAACGAGGCAAACTTGCCTGTTTTTAGTCTGATATTATCAGTTAGAAAGTAGTATGCTTCCTCTTCTTTTGAAGATATTCTAGTTCTGTGTAAAAGTGCTCTCTCCTTTTATTTGTTAGCTTTGATCGACCAAATGGAAGATAACCCATTTTCACAAAAAGCATGTTAAATAATGTCTTTGGTCTGGATGCAAAAATAAAATGATTTAAATTAAAACGAAAAGGTAAATAGTAAGAAGTTGAAGAAGAGAGGGTTAATTAAATATTTTGTTCGAATTACTCTAAACGGTTTTTTTTTTTAATGATAAATTTCTTTATTTTATCGGGCGATTATTTTAGTGCTTATTTGGCTAAAATTTTATTCAACTTTTCAACTGATCAAATTTTAATTTTAACTATATAATTTAGAGAACATATAATTTTTATCAACTTTTCAACTATATACTTCAATTCTATCAAAATGTGGTAAAAATGTTATCAAAAGCTTTATCAATATTATTGAAATTCAGCTGACATGCAATTTGGGGTAAATGTAATCTATAGAATGGTAGGGTG